TGTGGCCAATCAACTTGACCCCGACATCTTTTTTAACCCAAAAAAGGCTGCACAGACTCTTCCTCAAAAGAGGCAACCACGCTTAGATTATTGGAATCGTTGGTAATATTATTTTGATTTAGAGTTTTACAAAACATAATTTCTAACATCAAATAAATAAGCAAATAAAAATCAGTTTAGAATAGCCTAAGAAGAGATACGCTCCAATATAACGAGACAATGAACAAGAACAAAGACTATTATCCGGTGAACTTTCAACCAAGATTTCAAACCAATCTAGAATAGATTTCAAGAAAACCCTGAAGTCTCGAGCTATTGATAAACAACTTTATTTGGATGACACATTTCGATATTCTCTTTGCAAAGAGAAAGTGTCGGAAGGTTGGTAGCGCTGGAGCCGCAACGGTGTTTCGCAGATCGCCGGGAGAGGGGAGGGAGAGATAAAGAATAAGATGGAGAGGAGAAAGCAAAGACTGAGAAAGAGGAGGCGTTAATTTGGGGTGTGAAGAGAATAATCACAAAGGAGTGTGGGTATGTGGGACGGCGACAAACGGTGGTATTGGATGGCGTGAGTGGTGAGTTAGTGAAGAATCAGAGGAGAGAGAACCAAGCGAGATGCAATGGCAGACGGATTGGTGGGTGTTCACGGCCGCTGGCTTGGCTGAGCGTTCGTAGGAGAGAGAAGGAGATGGCAAGACACATTAACAAGATTTGGGGATTTGGGGAAGAAAGGCACCTGACTTAGGAAACATGTCGGGAGTGATAGAGAAAGGCGCGAGATTTGGGGAATAACGGTACGATTTGCCCGGCGCCTCAGCTTTTACTTTTGGAAACTAAAATCAGCGACATAAATTTAAAAATTATTAAATAAATAGTGAGTTCTAATATTTATTAGAACTTACAGAGAAATTAATAGTTGAGATTATCAAGTTTATTTTTTAAGTTTATTTTTAAAATTTAAGTAACATTGCTCTAATATTATATATTGATTGGTTCAATTATGACTATTTTTGTATTATCTCTTAAACTGTCATATTTTTAAGTTTAAATAATATTATTCTTTTTAAATTATACCTTCAACTATATGAGTAGTTTTACACCGCTCCCATTATTAATGTCAGTTATAAATTTGATGAATATTTTTTTTTTATTTTACCCCCTAAATTATACAATTTCTTTAACTTTTTCTAGTCGTGTCTGTAATTGTCATGAAAAAATATAGCATACTTTTGTATTTGAGGCGATCTGAAATAATTTAAATAGTTGATGAATAAATGAGAAAAATTTAATAATTCTAGGAGTAAAGTAAAATAAAATTTATAGTTTAAAATGTCAAAGTATAATTTAGAATTTTAAAATAATCACATAAACTAATTTAAACAACTGACATCGTCAATGAAAATGTTTAAACTACATTGACTATATTTTCTTCTTCCAACTATCGAAATTGTGTTCTCTTTCAAAAAAATCTCTAGACCCAAATCATCATAAATTTAACACCTACAATTTTAAATATGAAGATATTACCAAACCTAGCATAGCTTTCGCCAATCATACTAAAGGCAGAGTACCCAATTATAGTAAGGCATTTTTAAGAGTTAGGTTAGTCAACTTGGCCCGAGATGTGTTCTTGTGGTTCGGCATGCGTCTCTTGGTGTAGTAAAAAGCAAGACTTAGTCTTGTTTCTACTACTGAAACGGAGTATAAGACTTCCACTCTTGCTACTCAAGAATACACTTGGCTTCGTCAGCTTGTTGGGGATGTGTTTTCACCTATTCATAAACCTACAAAACGTCTTGGTGACAATCAAAGTGCTATAAAATTGGCTATTAATCTAGTGTATCACGCAAGAACAAAACAAATTGAGATCGAGCATCATTTTATTCGTGAGAAGGTGCTTGACGAAACAATTGAAGTATTGGAGGTGCGGAGTAAGGACAACATTGCAAATATCTTCACAAAGTCTCTCTCCAAGGGACCATTCGAGAATCTTCGTGCTGAGTTTGGACTTATTTTCAAAAGTTCACTTTAAGGAGAGTGTTAAAAATTTTAAGTAAATTTTTGGTAATTATTTATTTAAATATTTTATTTTTGAGGGATGTAGTGAGGATTAATGTATTTAAAAATTTCAATATCTAGAACCTTGTAGAACATATTTGCAGTTAATATCTTTCTTGAGCCTTCTACCAACATTTAGAACCTTCACTTTTCTACCAATGCTCACCACTATAAGTTATAATTCTTAAACTTTTCAAACCTGCACCTAGCTTGAGTTTCTAGACCCTTCTCTAGTCACCTATAAATAGACCCCCACTAACCCAATTCACTAAGCCAACAAAAACACAAATCACCAACAACAATTACCAACTTATTTTTACTTTCTCTCTTGCAAGTTTTTTTCTCTTTTGTAAGCTGGTAACTTAGATATTTCCATAATAATAAATGTTTTTTTCTTCCCTCATTTTTTGGAGCTATATTCTAATTTTTTCGTTTTTCTTCAATTTCGGTTGTGAGTCTTGGGGTAGTGGAAATTTATTTTTCACTATTCTAAGAAAACAATTTCTGAAATTTAAAATTTATCTTTCTTCACAGTGATCTTCATATCACGCAGGAAAGCTTATGAGAAAATTATCCATAGAAAGACAATGAATAAGAACAAAGACTATTACCTGGCGAACTGTAGACCAAGATTTCAAACCAATCTAGAATAGTAGAAACTAGATTATTTGCATCAGAAGGAAAAAATGCAAAAAATTCTGCAAGATAGATTTCAAGAAAACCCTGAAGTCTCGAGCTATTGATGAACAAGTTTAGTTGGAAGACACATAGTTAAACCTTGATGGCATCAGAGGGTTGGTAGCGCTGGAGCTGGCAATGACATTTCTGCGGAGAGGAGACAGAGAGATAAAGAATAAGATGGGGAGGAGAAAGCAAAGGCTGAGAAAGAGGATGCCATAATTTGGGGCGTGAAGAGAATAATCACAAAGGAGTGTGGGTATGTGGGATGGTGACAAACAGTGGTAGTGGATGGTGTGAGTGGTGAGATAATGAAGAATCAGAGGAGAGAGAACTGAACAAGATGCAATGACAGACGAATTGGTGGGGTTTCACGACGATTTCAGCTGTGCGTTGACTTGGCTGGGCGTTTGTTGCCTTAGGGAGAAAGAAGGAGATGACAAGGCAAAAACAAAGGGATGGGAGGAGGGGACGGGGATTAGGGCATGAATGGAGAAGGAAGAGAGCGAGAGAGAGAGCGAGATGCATGATTAACAAGATTTGGGTAGATTTGAGGAAAGAAAGACTCCTGACTTTGGAAACATGTTGGGAGGGAGAGAGAAAGGCGCGAGATTTGGCAAATAACGGTACAAATTGCCCCACGGCTTTCATTTTTGGAAACTAAAATCAGCCTCTTAATATGGTAAATTACATGTTGACCTCTTCAATTATGACTATTTTCATATTATTTCTTAAATTGTCATATTTTTTGGTTCAAATAGCATTATTTTTTTTAAATTGTACCTTCAAATATGTGAGTTGTTTACGCTGCATCCATTATTAATGTCCGTTATAAATTTGATGAATATTTATTTTATTTTACATCCTAAATTATATGATTTTTTTAACTTTTTCCAGCATGTCTGTAATTGTCATGAAAAAATATTGCAAACTTTTGTATTTGATGCAATCTAAAATTGTTTAAATAGTTGATGAGTAAATGTAAAAATTTTAATAATTCTGTGAGTAAAGTAAAATTAAATTTATAGTTTAAAATGTCAAAGTATAATTTACAATTTTAAAATAATCACATAAACTAATTTGAACAATTGACATCGTCAGCGAAAATGTTTAAACTACATTGACTATATTTTCTTCTTCCAACTATTGAAAATGTGTTCTCTTTTCAAAAAACACTCTAGACCCAAATCATCATAAATGTAACACCTACAATTTTAAATATGAAGGTATTACCAAACCTAACCTAGCTTTCGTCAATCACACTAAAGCAGAGTACCCAATTATGGTAAGGCCTTCTTAAGAGTTAGGTTAGTCAACCCGGACCGAGATGCATACTTGTGACAAAATCGAGATGTGTTCTTGTGAACCCAGCCCAAGACAAAACCAAGACATGTTCTTAAGAGTTAGGTTAGTCAACCCAACCCAAGACGCGATCTGGTAACAAAACCGAGACGTGTTCTTGTGGTTCGACATGTGTCTTTTGGTGTAGTAAAAAACAAGACTCAGTCTCACTTTCTACTACTGAAACGGAGTATAAGGCTTCCACTCTTGCTACTCAAGAATGCGCTTGGCTTCATTGGCTTGTTGGGATGTGTTTTCACCTATTCATAAACTTACAAAACTTCTTGGTGACAATCAAAGTGTTATAAAATTGGCTACTAATATGGTGTGTCCTGCAAGAACAAAGTATATTGAGGTCGAGCATCATTTTATTTGTGAGAAGGTGCTTGACGAAACAATTGAAGTATCAGAGGTATATGGAGTAAGGACAATATTACAGATATCTTCACAAAGTTTCTGTCCAAAAGACCATTCGAGAATCTTCGTGCACAGTTTGGACTTATTTTCAAAAGTTCACTTTAGGGGGAGCGTTAAAAATTTAAAGTAAATTTTTGGTAATTATCTATTTAAATATATTTTTTTTGAGGGGATGTAATGAGGATTAATGTATTTGAGAATTTCAATATCTAAAATCTTATAGAATATTCTTGCACTTAGTATTCTTCTTGAGTTTTGTAGAACATGCTTGCACTTATTATCCTTCTTGAGCTTTCTTGAATTTCAGTCGTGAGTTTTAGACTAGTGAAAATTTATTTTTCATCATTCAAATAAAGCAATATCTGAAATTTGAAATTTGTCACGCTACTTCAATTAATCTTAAATCAGAGAAGAATCATCGTACGAGTGACCTTTCAACCGTAGCCTGATCTTTTCATCCGTAGCTTGATCTTTGCACGGTGTTCTGTACTACTATTGGATTCAAGGAGTAAGTTTCTTGTACTCGATTGGAAGAAAGAAGAGGCCGCTGGTCGCCGTAGCCGAGAAAGAAGAGAGGATCAACTAATTAGAAAAAATGAAAGGGTATGTTTCAGAGAAGGGTACCTGAAAGAGGTGGTGCTTGGGCAGTTGCTGGTTGTTGTTGGCGGTGGCTGGGCAGTGGCGCCAAGAGAGATGAGAGAAGGGATGGCTGCTTGCTGTTGAAGGCGTGACAACTGGGATTGGGTAGTGGTACAGATAGGGAAGAGAGTGAGCAACAAGGAAATTAGAAGAAGAGGGATTGTAGGGTTAGAGAGAGTGAGCGTGAGACGGATGATGTTAGGAAACAATAGGCGAGAGAAAGAAGATTTCAAGGAGATCTTGGAGACTCTAATTGAACGTTAAGGAGGCTCGATTTTGGAAAGACGATAGAGAGAGGGGTTTGGAAACGAAGACACCATGAAACTTTAAGGAACGGTAAATGATAAGTTTTATATGTACCAAAAAAAAAAAAAGATAAGTTTTAGGCGGGAAAAATAATTGAGTTAAATGCAAAAAAATCCTATATAATTAAGGCTATTTGCACGTAATCTCTTGTAGTTTTAATTGTTATACTAAGCCCCCCTTAGTTTAAAAAAAAAGTGTAAAAGTGGATGAACGTTATTAATTTAAATCACGCGCTCAAAAATGCAAGTGAGGATAAAATATGTCAAAATTATAATGTACAATTCTTAAAATACCCTCAAGCCCTTGCCTCCCTAACCCAAATCTCTTTCTCACACACGTAACCTCTACAAACCAAATCCAAACACTTGTAACGTCCCACACCCTCATGGATTCCAACTTCAGGGCCTTTTCCACGGATTTGTCTCCCTAATTCCAAAGGCTTCAAAAAAGACACCAATACCAATGTTATCGAGAAAGTAACATGCAACCAAGTCCAATATTTACCATCTGATAGAGAAGCTGCATTGCAATTCTTCCATAAAACTTCGCAAAAGCCCGAATGTTCCAACTTGAAAATTGGGGGAATTTTAGAGAGAGAACCCAGAAACTCCAATCCACCGCCACCTCAACCTAGAGACTATAATTCATATTTCTTTCTCATCGACTACCTCTCATTAAGCATTTCAAGCTTATTCTTGAGGTGTACGTAAATCGATTGCATATTTGTTGTTCGTTGTGTTTTGGTTAATGGGTATGTGACATTTTGTTAAAAGGACTCATTGTGGTATGTCGATTCAATCAATTTGAGATGATCTGATTCATCTTTTATGTTAGAATTACGTTGTTCATCTGATGTATTTATGTTTTGTCTTGAAGTGATCTGAACCTCTACTTGTCTCTAATTTCAAACCTCCATGTACTTTATTATATAGATATAGGAGTTTTAATATAAGAAAAACTTAAAATTCATGAGTTTTATAGAAAAATAATACTACGAAGACACTATGAATTGAAATATCACTATAGTGTCACACTATTTATCCACTCTATATGAAGGAAACAACCATAATGTTTAAGATGTGTTTTTGTTTTTTTGAAATAAGTCTTTCAATTGACGTGCTTGTGGGTATGTGTTGCTTCCTTAAGACATAGATATTTTTGTGTTGGTTTTATTAAGCCGCTCTATAAAGTTATTTTTCTTTTTGAACAATTTGACATTCATCAAATCAAATGCACATTGTGGTGTCACTTTCTGTATGAAAGGAACAACCATAGTATTTGAGATGTGAATTTTTTTTCTTTCACTTTTAAGTCACACTATCTATCCATTATATATGACGTCATTTTTATAGTCACATTTTCAACGAATATTTTGTTGACATACTTTATTTTCATAGAGTGTTGTTTTACTTATCCTTTGTTATCATAGATGTTCTTTATTTTGGCATGTGAACTTATAATATGATAAGAACTATTTGTTGACACACTTTGGAGTCACACATCCTTTATATTGAGTTAATATTATTTTATGTTGTTTTCATAGAGTGTTGTGTTTTGCTTGCGTAACATTTTGTTATCACATTTTTAACTTATTTTGTCATTCTATGAAGAAACTCATGTACAAGTGTATATTTACGCTTTAATTTTTTCCCTTGTGCATGGGTGGACATCATTTTATGAAACTAACACGAAAACAATATGCGGAAGAAGAAGAAAGCATAATGTTTTCGTTCAAACAATAGCCATTATTGCTCTGATAAAAATAGCCATTATTGCAATGTTCATTGTTAAAATACGAAAACTAAGAGGAAAAAAACACATAAACATAAAAAATGTAAAAATTAATAAACAATTATTTGAATAAAAAAGGTAAACAAAAAACGTGATCAATCAAACAATCAGTTGAAAGCAAAAAACAGAATGAAAACATAATTTTAAACCTGATAATGTCTAACGTTGTAGAAGAAGAATGACAACCCTTTTAATGTTAATTGGTTCGAAGAGAAGAAACAAAAATCGATTAGAGAACAAGAAGAACGTTAATGACTGATGATTGGAGAAGAAGAAAGAAGATACGTTTGATGACAAAGATGCTGAGAATACAATTCAAAATTCAAAATGGATTATGATATAAAGAAGAAATGTTAGATGTCAAATATTATGAGAACACAATTCATTAATTAAATTAAGAAATATTTAATATAATAAAAACAAAGTAACAAAAAAACTATCAAATCTAATATGCATGATTTAAGGGAAGGGTAAATATGTCATTTTTTTTAAAGAGTAAAAATATGTATTTAGACACAATAAAATTAGAAAAATGAGGATTAAATAACTTCACATTAAGAACTATATACTTAAAAGATAATAAATTTAATTTAGCGTGCTCTTTCACAATTCCCCTTCATATATATAGTGGGAATGCTCCATACATCCGTTAAGCCCATCAGATCTGGCCCGCACTAATTACTCAAGCTTGGGTGGGATTAGGGATGTCAATGGACCAAAGCAGGAGCGGGGGTATAGTCTTCATCCCCGTACCCGCTTAAAAAATCTTCGACCATCCCCAGTCCACCCCTACTAACGGGTATAATTTTGATCTCTATCCTCGTCCGCGAATAAATTTATAATTCCCATCTCCGTCCCCCCTTCCCTCGTACCCGCCCAAGATCAAGTTCAAGCCATTCATGGACTGATAGTGGAACCACAAACCAGATAACTCTGGACTGATATAAAGCCCATTATCCAATTCATTCACATTGTAATACCAGGATATTGTACAAAGCCTTTTAAAAGAAAAAATTTTAGTCGCCAAAGTCTAAAACATTTCTCTATCCAAAAAATTAGAAAAAATAAAGTAATTCAGATACCCAAATGCTCTGTTTGCTTGCAAGAATTAGCCAAAGTAATATATTGACATTCAAGTTTTTCACAATTTAAGACCTACAAACCCCAAAAATCACCCTCCATCTTTCAAAAAAAAAGAAATTTTTTATATTAATAATCAACCTTCGATTCTTTTCCTAATTTAAACATACCCACAAGTCAAAAGAATCACAACACAAAAGAAATGCAGCAATCAACAGAGGGCATCTAAAACTTCAACAATAAAAGTTTATTGAACTTCAGAAGATCAATAAACAACCACATGAAGTATCGAAAAAAATCAAGAAAAATCTTGAAAATGGGTCATGTCATACTGATCTGATGATGTGAAATTACAAAGCAAATCTATGGAAGAAACACGTTGACCATACGATGCTTATAAGAAGACTGAAACATGAAAAATTTTAAAGTGATTCAAATACATGTTCACAGGACAGAGATAAAAAGAGGATAAGAAGGGTTTGAAGTTTAAATTTAAATCTAGAAAGAGCAACAAAAAAAAAAATCAAATCTTAGCGGGGGAGTACCTTAGAATCCACAAAAAATGAAAAAAAAAATCGATCGATCGAAACAGCGAGAACTTCCTTGTGAGTTGTGGCTTCGAAGATGAGACAACGAAAGTCTTTGAGATCGATCGACTGAGAGAAGTAGAGAAAAGGAGGGGAGACGACGCTGCTGATAGAGAAAGAAAAGTTAGAGGCCTTATAGGGTTTAACGAGTATAAGTATGTATATATATATTTAATGGGTATACGGGGACGGGGCGGGGCGGGGGTAACGGTAGGTCCATCCCCGCCTTCATTCTCGCACGGGTTTATACGGGTATCCCCGTATACGTCCACCGTCCAATACGTATAGTTCATCCTTGGTCCAAACGGGACAGGTTTGAACGAATACCCATTTTTTTCCGATCCACTATCATCCCTAGGTGGGATTGAGCATGTATAGGTTTGAATTACGATTTTGTCCCCTTCAATTCAATGATCTAGTCTAGTGCCTCAATTGATCAGTTCGGTGAATGGCAGTGCACGTAAATAACATGGAAAAAAGGGTTAAAATATTGTTTAGCATTAATTTGCCAAATTATTCACCCAAAATACACCATTATTTTTGTACCCAAAAAAATGCACAACTTTTGTGATGGGACATTTCTAGAAGGGTGTTGGAGTAATGACGCGTGTCCTTGGTTTCGAGAGCCTCCCTTTACCTCCGGCGAGGCCACGTGTCCCTGAGCTCAACGTCCCCTCTGCTCCGACAGATTGGTCCCCCAAGCTTCAATGAATGCTCCATCGGCCCCGAGGAGTTCCCTCAGCTCCAAGGAACCATATCATCAATCCCTAAGTTATTGGTTTCTTAGGAAGCTAGTAACTGACAACTGAATCAAAGCTGAGCAGGCAATTTATGATGACACTCTGCACGATGAAGTCAGTATGATTGGATGAACTAGACCTTCAACTAAAGAGTGTCAGACGCGTGATATAAAGCGTAGGATGAATGGTAAAGAGACAAGATTACCCCTGCTGATGTGCGGCTAGTAGAGACAGGCATTTAATGCGTCATTAATTGATAAGACATATGACATGGCTTGATAAGTCAAGAAGTAAAAACATTAAATGCTCTAAGATCCAAGCATTCAATGCCTCAACATTGGAGAAAGAACATTGAATGCTCAAACAGTTCGAGCAATTAAGATGAAGACATTCCCCATGAAAAGTATGGGATACACCGACCCATCTCTGAAGACTACATACTGTCTAGGCTACCGACAATGATGAGTCCTGGAAGGTATAAATAGTCTTTTAGTACACATTGCAAAAGTACAAAAAATGACTTGTCAAGAGTCTCAAATAGTATTTTCTTCTTCCCCTCTCTCAAAGAACTGACTTGACCGTCCGAGGAAATACGCCAAAAAACACTCTGACACCCTTTTAACCCTTCTTTGTGTTCCAGGAGTTTCTCGCGAATCACCAGGATCGGTTCGACAGCATCAAGAGCAATTCATTACTAGTCCTTAGGCCTCCTTTGGCTCCCTCAACCTATTCCTTGTTGTCGGACCCACCATTCCACCGGGTTGAATCTCACCGTGGGAGAGACCTGTCCTCATTTCCACTATTTTGCAGAAATTCTCCCGCACATTTTGTATACAAATTACAAACCTTTAATATAAGACTAATGCTATTTGCACTAAATAATTTACTGATCTAATGATGTGGTTTCATTAAAACTATTAAATTAGCACAAAGTTTCAATATTTGATAGACCCCACAGTTAATCAAAAAGTCATAATGAATTAAGTCAACAAATTAAATTAATAAATTAGGTCACAATAACATTATTTTTAATATAAATAAGTTTAAAAGAATCCACTAATCTAACAAGCCATGTTAAAATAAAATTTAAATAGGATGCACAAAAATGATAAACCCCTGCATTGTTCCAAGAATTATTGGCGAAGATATAATCCTTAAATAATTTGAGCGTTGGCCTGGGCCTCCTAAACTATTTGCTTTAGTACTAGATTCCATTTGTACTAGATCGATCACCTACATCATTAGTGGGAGACAGACTTAAATGTAATAAATTTCACTTAGATTCATAGTATAGTATCTAAAATTAAGAGGAATCTAGTACTAGGAATCTTTACTTAACCTTCATTTAGTACAATGTATAACAGGAACTTGTTGAACAATTGCACTGGCTTCTGAATGCGGGAAACTTGGATGTTCATTGCCATCACTTCCCATTGCCCAAGCCCATACAAAACCTCAGAATTTCCCGTTGGTAAATCCATTGGATGATCTATTGGGCTATGGGTTCGTAGGCTTGTAAACCAATTGCCCGTTTTTGAAGTCGTAGAAATCATTGAGTAAGATTAGTGTTGTTAAAATATAAATACATAAGTTATACTTATTCAATAGTTTAAATTTTTTGAGTAGATGGTTGTTTAACATAGTATCAGAGTAAACGAAGGAGGTTTTGTGTTTGAATCTCGTTGGTATCTTAATTATTAAATTTTTTCACGTGTTAAACTCAAAATTTAGTCTGCACGTAAGAGAACATGTTGAAGTATAAATATTTAAGTTACTCATTTTTTTAACAACTTAAACTTATAATTAACTTTCTTTTGACCAGCAAACAATTTGGCGTCATGCTATTATCCTGTTTATTGAAATATAAATACTTAAATCAATTTCGCATCATATTATTGTCTAGCGTATTGAAATATAAATACTTAAATCAATTTGACGTCATACTATCAGTTACTATTGTCCAACGTATTAAAATATAAATACTTAAATTACATCATCTTTAACGACTTAACCTTACATATATCTTTCGATCGGCAAACAATTTGACCTCATACTACCAGCTACGACTGTCCACCTTACTTCTTGTCTGAATTATAAACATCATCCACAAGAATCGACATCTCCATGCAAAGGAAGAAGGTTCGGAGAAGTTTCCTCCGCCAAAATCAGGCCCCACAATTCTTCGCTCAGATCCAAAATTTGTTTCATTGACTGGCCATATCATTTTTGACACTTCGACCAACCAGGCCATGTGAATTGCAAACAATCACATAAAGAAAGGCTTTTTTTTTTTTTTGGCTATGATAAGTGGACTAAAAATAATTAGGATAACACAATTTTAATACTACAAGTTAATATGATATGAACCAGATCCATATAATATTAGAGGATTATGTTGACTAATTCTTCATATAAACTTAAAAATGACACAATTTGTTAAAAAAAATAATCATAAATGAATAAGATGAGTGACAAATACAAATAACTTCATTTTGACATGACAAACTCGTTTAATATGTATTGTATGAAAAAAAATGTATGTTTTATTTTTATTTTTTTCTATTTCCTTGTAAGAGATTGCATAAATTGTTGCAGAATTAAAGAATTTTCTAATTACTTGTTTTTTCTAACATATGAATTGATTGCACTCTTATTTTATGGAGACTTAGTGGTTTTGGTTGAGATCAAAGAGGGTCTTAGTCAGTTTGCGGGTTATGTGAATCCAAATATGACACAATTAACCAATTAATTTGGGTTAAATCAATTAAATTAGAGTCGACAAATATTCGATATATAAAAAAAATACACGATAAGACTACTGAGAGTTGATTGTGACCCTATTATATACATACTCCCTCGTAATATTCCATTTTATAGGAATATCAAGCACTCCATTATTGTCCAGTCAGTTACATAGGAGCAGAATCAGTAATTGGTATCATTACTTTGTCTTCCTCATGCTTTAGCAATTACAGCTCCATTCCATTCCATTTCACTGTAATTCACTAACCTCAAAACCCAATTTTTTCCAAACCCTAATCTTCATATCTCTTGCTTACCATGGGGTTGACCTTGGTGGTTCTGGCCAAGCTCAAGCTCATAACCACCTCCCACAGTGTATGTCCGATGGTGGCCGGCTTGGCATGGGCTTTTGTCCTCAAACTGTCGTTCAGTATCACAAAACTCGGACCTCTTCGTCGAGTCTACGCTGATGTGCTGAATGGGTTCAGGCTTTTCTTATTCCAAATGGGTCAGATATCACTCAATGCAGCACCAACTTCTAGTAATAGAACTAGATGGGAACGAGCTCTTCGGCTAGTCCGCGAGAGGTTAACTCAGGTGACCCGGTCGCCGGCGTTGGAGTCCGATGAGGATAGCTTGCACACTCTTTCAATGATAGCACTTTAAGCTTCATATTTTGTGAGTAATTTGTGTTCATATGGTTCTTTTTCTTTCAATTTCTTGTGGCTAAGTAATTGTTTTTTAACTTAAATTGCAAAAGAAATACATTCCTTTTCCTTTTCAAGATCATGGTACCGCCACTGCTAGAACCAACACTACCACCAGCTAGGGTCGTTGAACAATACAAGTAGTTTGAGTCGACTTCGATTTTGGTTTGTTCAATCTTCGCATTGTAAGAATTTCATGTTCATTTATATTAACGACCCTAATCCAAGCAATTTAAACTCACTTTGAATAGTATCAACTCGATTCTAATAACTTCTCTCAAAGAATAATTCTAGTGTTCAAGGGCAGCTCAACAGTATTAAAAAAAAATTTGGTTTTAGGCCCCAAATTTTTAGAAGATTTCATAATTTTAGGTATATTACTAACCTAAAAAAAATTTACATCTATTAACTTTTAAACCCTAAAAAATTAAATACAATCAAAATTTTTATTGTAATAATTTGGGTTTATAATCCAATTCATAACATTATAAACCTAAAAATCATAAGTTAAAAAAATAAAAAGTATTTAAAAGTTAAGTCATATTTATTCCTGTCCACTTTCTCTCGGTATAAAAATAAGTAAAAAATATATAAAAAAAAAGTTGAAATTAAACTCTCTCTGATAAAAAACAAAAATAAAAGTTAAAATATTTTCTCAGTAACATTAGCACGTTCTTTTTCTGTCTCTCTCTCACATAATAAATTAAAACTAAAAAAATTTAATATTTAAAATAAAAAAAAACCTCATTTTAAAAGAAATAGATTGTTTTAGAATTACTATAAGTTATACTGTTTAATTTCTGAAAATCTTTTATGAGATACTAAGTTGGAGTTCGGATTTCGCCAACTACAACCGTCCTAAGGGATCCACCACCCTTTCCTAACGGATTTGGCCAAATCTGTTTGTTTAATATAGTAAAATATGATTTATAATGCTATTCATGTCTAAGTTAGAATATTGCTTTTAGTTATGTTTTGTTTTCATAGAATATATACTGACTTATGCTGACCCTAGTCGGCTTTTGAGTTTTATATATTAGAGGATAAAATAAAATTTGTAGTTAAAGTGTGTTTAATCTAGATCATATTCTTGTATGTAAGAGGCCTTAGGCCACTCCAAAACAAAAAGTGTTTGGCTGATCTCTTGTGATCATGATATGGACTAATGTTAGTTATGTCTTGCATCTCGACAAAAAAAGTATTTAATTGAAAAATCACTAACCTAATAATTCATATACTGAACAATTTGATGTTTCTTTTCTTCAATCCATTCAAGGATTACTACTATATGGTAATACACTTTTGTGTGGTCTATGGGGTACTCGCTAAGAAAGGGTTAAACATGAAGACACGTCTTGGCGCAATAGTATGATTACACTTTTGTGATATATATGTTTTAAATCTAAGTTACATTTTAGTATGGGATAAAATTATATATAACTAACTTTCTGCCATCTACCAGCAAAAAGTAATGGACTGACCTTTAACAGAAACATAACGCATTCTATTTGTGACTGCGGTCCATCTTATTTCTTGTCTGCGTTATAAACATCATTTACAAGCATCTATCCTCATGCAAACGAAGAAGGTTCGGAGAAGTTTCCTGTACCAAAATCTGGCCCCACAATTCTTCGTCCAGATGCAAAATATGATCTTCCTTCATCATCTATGTCTTTGATTGATAGGCCAATATTCCATTTTCATCTAGACATTTCAACCTCAACCAACCAAAGGATTGTAGATTGCAATACTATAGGATATTGTTTATAGCTACTATATTCACTACAAGAAATTGGTCTTTTAGTTGCAAAAATTATTGCAGCTAAATGCATAAAAATTGTCACTATATACTTTAGTGACAATATTTTTATTGTCACTACGCCGCAGTAATGTGTGTGGCTAAATCATTTAGCTATGACATTTAATTGCTGCTACTAAAAATAAATTTTTTAGCCGCACCATGAAAAAAGTCACTAAATGTGAAATTTTTATCCGTCATAATTATTGTAGCAAGTAAACTAAATTTTTTTACTAAAATGTACTATATCACCACTAAAAACCCGATTAAAACCTGACTTTTAGTGACAACAATTAATTGCGGCTAAAAGTATACATTTTATCCACAATTGAAATCACCACCAAAATTTAAAACATGATTTTTTTGACAACTTATTATCGTTACTAATTAATACATTAAAATGAACAAAGAAACCTATCGCATAATTTTATTTTTTAAAAAAAACAGAAGAAATTTATTGAATAAATCTGAAAATTTAAAAGAATCAAAAAATAGTAACTGTTTTAACAGGAAAAATAGAAAAACTTTACAGAATTCTGTTACAAGAAAAGCAGCTAAAAAATTCCCTGCACAGCTGCTGCATTTGCTGGCCCTCAAGCTCAGTCTCTGGCCCTTAACCAAAACTCACCATCTTCCTCATCGTTTGTAATACATAGAAGCAACTGCAATACTTCCAAGATAACAGTACACCTGAACAGAAAAGGAGGCAGACCCCTCTCTGTCCAACTGTTGAACCTGCAAATCCTGCCTACTGATCCTGCTGTAAGAGCAGTCTTCCTCCATTTTCAACTTCCATCCTTCACAACAGCATAGTTTCAACACAGCAACATAGAGTGCAGCAAATCACAGAGATGCAGCACCAGCACATCTGTTTTACCAAAACACCTCAGCAACTGCTAACTACCATAGCAGAAAACAGTTCAATACGTGAAAATAATAAATTCAAATAAACTCTTACTTTCAAAGATATATTTCTTAAACCAAATCACATGAAAATAATATTCTGATATAAGCATCGTTAAATTGTACGTGTACAACGCGTAATCATCAAAGAATAAGAATGAACAAAAAAAGTTATTGCATAACAATTAAGTCTCAAGTCTCAACTGCATATTCTTTTTTTGACAAGTTATTAGATTTGTAGTCTTGAAACAATAAAAACAAAAAGCGACAAAGAAACAATAATTAAGAAGCTTCAAAACAGGGGCACAACCCATCAACATATGGGCCATAAAAACAAAAGGAGCTAACAAAATATACCTAAACACTCCATCTCAAAGATCAACAAAATAACTTCTAGACACAGAGAACAACTCTTTGATCAAAAAGAAAGAAGACTCCACTACAGAAATCTGTAGAGCATATTTCAGGGAAGCTGCTCTACTTGCTCAAAGGACCAGTGACAAAAAATATGAACTAACACCGGATAAATATCGAGCAACTAGATGAAGAAGGATTCTGCATCAAAACAATGAAAAGCCTAAAATTCAAGGCTTTAATCACTCCAAAAAAAATCAACCAATCTGTACAGTTTTCAATCCCTCTGTCTAGAGACATGAAGAGGCAGTATAACAGTCTTCTTCCTTAAAACTTTGGTACCCTGCTGATCATGCTGCTGCAACTTCCTGGCCTGATCAGGAATGTTTAACAGACAGAAAAAATCAGTAGGATGAAGGACCGAAACCCATCACTCGTTAGAAAAGGAAGCCCTATCAATTACATATTAAAATCGCATGAATGCATATTGATCATAAACCGAAAACACTTATCTTTAATCACTTATAGTGCTTACATCAACTACACGGTGTAGGAATAAAAGAAGGCTAGCGGCATTGTAGTTCTGCCTCGATGCGGTCATTGGAAATAAATTGTTGTGCTGTATAAACATATATCATATGTGACGCCATTATCGTACACAACTGGATATTGAGACTCAGGATCACCCTAAAATAGATCAAAACACCACAAGAATCATAAGTAGTTCCGCTTCAGCTGACTTTACTCCTCAAAACTAAACAGTTACAATTGAAACAGAACAAATGAGTAGATTCAAATAGATTTCACAAAGAAACCTCGTATGAGAATTGCAATTTATACAAATCATCAGCAAACATAAGCTATCTCTAGCTTAATTCAATGTTACAAATCTAAAATCAATTTGAAATCTAAGTAAATGAAAACTCCAATTTAGCTTCATTGAATCACTAATCTTATTAATTCAACAGTTTTCTATTTGAACATGAAAGTGTTCTAAATCCACGTCAATAAAATACAGAAACTACACATAAGGTTAAACAAAAACATAAATTTGTCATAAATTAGAGATCTTAGTTTTTTTTAAAAAAAAATCAAATTCACTTCAATAGAACACCTGGTGTTCACGTCAGACCAAAACGCGGCCCTTGATGTCGAGAAGAAAAAGTGCAGATGTAGCCCCAGCTATCAAACTTAGGGTTTCAGATTCCGAGATCGGAGATCAGATCGGCATCGTCAGAGGTTGATGAGATCTGAAAGTATTTCTGTAATTAGATGAAATTGAGGGTTTTGAATAAGGAGATTAACAGTGCGGTGGTGGTGATGGAGGTGTCTTTGAGGGAGTCTTCAAACTAGTTGGAATTGTGACGGAGAAGGAATTGAGAGATCGATGATTGGGAGAGAGAGAGAGAGACGGTGAGAGAGATCGACAATGTGGTGGAGGTGAATGTACTATTAAACGCCCAAATTTTTTATAGTGTACTAAAATTGACATTCAGTGGCAAAAAAATAAATGACAGCTAAAAATAAGGCATAGTTGCTGCAACTGAAAAATGTTATCAATAAAATTTTATATTATTAGTAGCTAAATTTAAATTGTTGTCACTAAATATTTGGAATTAGTGATGAATTAATAATGTATTTTTGTTGCAACATTTAAATTATCACTAATTAGATTCATTATCATATTTTCAGTGACAACAATACTTTTTCACCACTAATTATATATATTTAGTGGTGACAAATAATTATGACAACTAAATAATTTTAACATTATACTTTCAATGACAATAATAATTTTTTGCCACCAAACATATTCATTCAGTGACAATATTTGTAGCTACAATCTAAATTTAGCGGCTAAAAATTATTTTTTTTGTAGTGATTATACTTTGGATATAAAATGAATGTAGCGAAAATGAGGGTGTGTGAAAAAACTAGAAATGATAGAATACAAAATGACTGTATTAAAAAAATGGTATGAGTAGCTCTAATCGAGGTTAAATTGAGAAAGAATAGATTAAAATAGTTTTGTCATATTCAATGGAGACTGATAGTGGTACTAGTTAGAAAAGTGATAAAATTTCTTTTAAAGTATTAGGAATAGGGGTAGACTTAAATTAATATTGAACGAAATAATAAGAAAAAATATAAAAATATTTAACTTATATGAGTGTGAAACACATGACCAAAATGAATGGCAAAAACGAACTCATATAATCGACGCCAAAGGATTAAGACATAAAACTTGGTTTTGTTGGTTGGTATTAAACTCTGGATAGCAAATTCCAAATAATTAGAACAACAATTTATTAAGTTTGAGTATTCTAAATTTTGAAATATATACTTTATTGTAGAAATGATAATCTTCTTTTATCTTATGTAACCTTTGCGATACAATAATGTATTTTTCCAATTGAATCAATCACTCACCTACCTTGTGAAAATTGTGCCTAGCAACTATGCACCTCAAGATAATTTGGATGAGAAGTTTCACATAATATTATCTCAATGTCCTAAGTTCGAATGTTGTAAGACCCTTAGTTCTCAATTCCCTCTAATCAATTTTTATCTTTTCTTTTTTGAGTTATAAATCACTTGACATATATGAGCTAGAGTCTTATTTAGAGCGGATTTCACCTCAATTTATGGTACATAATCTATCATTGATGAAAAATGAGAGAAAATATATTGAAGGAGATCTATCTCCAAGTTGGTTTATAGGCGCATGATTGCTTCAATCTAGAGTTCACAGTATAATTATAACAACTAGTTGATGCACACGTGTTTTGGACGGAAGTTATTTTTAATTATAGCTCAATTATAATTCATGTATATATAAGTATCATGTGTTCATACATATATAATTAATTTAGCATAAAATGTTAAAAAATATTGTAGAATGTAAAATGTAAAACATTATTAACATAAATAACTTTATTATATCAAGAATGTTTATAAACATCAAAGCGAATCATACAACTACAAATGAACCTACTTAGAAAATTTACATCTCATATATCTTTCTATTAAATAATTTCATTCAAATGGGAAATACAATTTCTCATTCTTTAAAAAGGAGGAAGGTCAAAATAACAAAAAAATAAAAACTCGATACAAATAACAAAATTGATGCATTTAAAGAAAAAAATAACACAACTCCCAATCTAAAGGCCTCTAATTATTAGACTACCAATCATTACTCATAATCTCAAACTCAATTGTCAACCTTGTTTGTCCCGCCTTCTTTCTTCTCTTAGTGGTCATAATGTAGAGAAAATTAAAAAGTTCAACCATCTTATACCTTGACATAATATTTTATTGGGTTATTTTTACTCTCTTTTTTTTTTCAACCTCCATTTTTATTTTTTGGGGTGTTGGTCCCTTTTTGTTCTGAAAATTTCATAATCCAATTAGCAATAGACATAACAAATAATAAGGAGCCGATGACTACTCCACCCTTTTTTTCTTAGTTGAAAGAATAACATTAGCTTTACATAAAGGGAACATGGGTAAATGATGGACTGAGTTTCATAATGCAATTTTTTTTTTGTAAATGTACCCATTTTAGTTCTTTGATTGTACATTTGAATGTCTATTGCTTCTATTTTATCATTTGTATAGAACAAAAGTACGTAGTAGGGTATTAGGTATAACATTATTCAATTGTTCTTCCACTAATTTAGCCTCCTTAGCTGTTTGTTTGGCCAAATTTTCAACTGAAGTAAGTTACACTTTTGAATTTTCCATCTTCAAGATGCTACTCAGCAACTTGTCATGTCATTTTCATTTCTCCCTCACCCGTAGCATCCATCAGGTTTTCAACTTTCTCATCTACAAGTTTAACTACGTCTAAAATTAGAGGTGCTTTTTCAACTATCTCACCTACAATTTGAACTTCTTCTAAAATTAGAGGTGCTTGCACAAAAAAATAAAAAAAAATCATGATCTAAGATATATAATCACCAACAACTATTCATGGTCTCTTAAGACACATAAGTATGCTAATATGTATCACCAATTTAAAGGAATAGTAATAATTTGTTCAAGAATCTCGTTAATTTCAGGATCCATTAAGCAAGGGTGCATCTACAACCAATCCGATTATTCGACTCATCTGGAAAGAATATTAGGAAAAACACTTATTAAACTGTTAGAAAAAGTAAAAGAAAAACAAAATTAAATATTTTTGTCAAATTAATACGTAATATACCAGTGGATTTTGACTTACCAAGGATTTTCACAAGGCCAAAAAGGAATGGGAGATCTTGGTTGAAAGTTGCAATAGATCACATAGTTACTACATAAATAAAGTGATCTAGTGTGTGTGTGCGTATGCGTGTGTTTGAGTGTGTAAAATATGAAATCTATGTACATACAAGGAGATGGCCCCTTTCAACGGGTGATCTAGTGCAGCAACTATTATAATCGAAGCTGATGATCTTTGGACAAAGAGATAAATATTAATAGACATGAGAACAAACCAAAAAGATTACAGGTAGAGAGAGAGAGAGAGAGAGAGAGTTTTTACAGATAGTTGAGAAGCCTTTCAGAATCTTCGAAAAAGAGAGACACCACAAAATTTGGTTTGCTTTCATCTTGAAGAAATCAACTAAAACATAGTCTGTCATTGTTTATGAAAGCTAATTTAGTATAGATAGATGGATGGAAGATAAAAATCTGACAAGGATGAAGGAGAGAGATAAGATTTGATTAGCAAGGACAAAATAGAAAATTAAAAGTTTTGAAGAGTAACCGATATTTTATAGTAGTATATATATATATATATATATATATATAGATAGATAGATAAAAGATGCATGATTCAAATGAACCTCGATTATTAAAAATAAATGAATCAATGAAGTACTAATAACCAAATTACAAGGAAACGGTACCAAATTAAATGCCCCACATTTTCAGACTTAAAAAACATGCTTGTGCTACTTCGATGCCATGTCAGTAAAATGCTGTGGATTCAAGCTGGTAGGAATAACTCGATTTTGATACAATAAATTTGTTTCACGGGTACTGTTTCAAGAAAATGTCTACTACATCTTTTCACTATTTTATATATAGGATATAAAGGGTTGATTTTGCTAGCATATAAATTGAGTGCACTTTTGTTCTAATGGAAAACCTGTGGGTTTAGTTGAGGTTGAAATCACAGTTTATGGATTTGCTGGTTAATTTGAATATGACACGATTTATCACTCAAGTCAAACCAGTATTAAGACAGTTGACAGATTAATTAAATATATTGAATTAAAATTAATTAATGCTCGATATAAATTCAAATCAATATGCTATGACATGATTGTCAACCTAATGTATTGGACAAACTAAAGTAATAGACTCTTAAGTATGCATTTTATGTCATTTTGCTTCTCATTTTTCATTTATGTCACTTAAATTTCTCAATTACTTAATTTGTGTTATTATGTATCAACCAAAAATTACAATTCAAATTGATTAACAGATATGATCACGTGCATCTCATGTGACTATATTTGAAAAATATATGTTGGAACTTAAAGAGAGTAAAATAACAAAAATTGTAGATCTGTATGACCAAAGTGACACATATTACAAACTTCAGGAACCAAAGTGATCCCTCGAGTGTGATCATATGAGACACATGTAACCAGCCACCATGGTTAGTTAACTTAAGTCCTCTTTTTTAATTGGATAAAGTAATACAACTTTAAAATTTATGGGACTAAAATGAGGCAAAACTCATAATTGAGGGACCATTATTGTATATTATCCTAATTAATTGATAATCTTGCTTGTTATATAAGATATTCATGAGGTTGCTCCATTCCATCCCATTCACTGTCATACAATAATCTCAAAACCCATTTTCCCAAACCCTAATCTTCGCTTTTGTTGGGTACAATGGGGTTGCACTTGGTGGTTCTGGCAAAACTCAAGCTCATAACCACCACCTACAGCGTAGCTCCAATGGTGGCCTGCTTGGCATGGCCTTTTGTGCTTAAACTGTTGTTCAGCGTTGGACGGCTCGGACCTCTTGGTCGAGTCTACGACGATGTGTTGGATGGGTTCAGGTTTTTCTTGTTTCAAATGGGTCAGATAACCTTCAATGCAGCACCAGCTTCTGGGAATAGTACCAGATGGGAACGAGCTCTTCGGCTAGTCCGCGAGAGGGTGGCTCAGGTGAGTCATTCGCCGGCGTTGGAGTCCGACGAGTATAGCTTGCACACTAGATTAATTATAGCATTTTAAGCTTCAAACTTTGGGAGTAATTTTTGTTCATGCGGTTCTTTTTACTACTATAATTACAAAAGAAATATATTCTTTTTCTTTTTCAAGATCATGGTCCGCCACTGCTAAAACCAACACTACCACCACCTCTAGCTAAGGTGTTAAACGATCCGAGTAGTTTAGATTCGATTAGTTGGCTCAATTTCGTTTTGTTCAATCTCATTCAATATCTTTAACTTGCTTCAAGTGTAATCGATTCAACTCGAATAGTTTTCTATCAACATATCTTTTATGTGAAAATAAACAACTCCAAACTTGTACCTAAATGGCTCCGGACCATTTAAAATCGTCTCTACTTCTCTATTCTAAATTTTTTTGACAGATTTTAATTTCTATTCAACTGTTGGTTATACAAATTTTAGAGGTTATGTTTTTTTTTGAAAAAAAATGGATTTATGTATTACAGATTAATAAGTTCTCTCGTGTTTGAATTCACAAATATTAATTTTAATTTTAACGGAGTTGGAGGCGGAGTTATAATAATTTATACTCAAAGTCACACCAACCGAAGTTAGACGTCGGATACATGCCTGCCAACTCCATCTTTGTTGGAGCCTATATTGGAATCACTGTTATTCCAATAATAACTATGTATTAAGTCCTAAAATTATGTATCAAAGTTATACCTTGCCCATATCTCATTGGGAATATATAAGCACTTACAACTTGATGAAAGTGTACATAATAAAAATAACCTTTAAAATTTTATTGGTTGATATAGGTAAAAAAAAATTTTGATCGGCTAATGGTTTGCAATTTCCTGTTTGAGAATTCTCTGCAATTCAACAATTTTTGCTTTAATTTCTTCTTGATCGTCAAGAACAAAATGGCAATATAAAAAACTCGACATCAATTTGATAGTTTTTGTTAAAAAAAAATTGATAATTTACATATCATCAGCAAAATCCCAAAAAAAATAAAAACTAATGATTCAATTTTGATTATTCAACAAGTTTCTGATCGAATGTATAGTCAAATATTATTTTCTTTCTTTGTGATTCTGACGAATTTCCCAACAGAAAATATAATGATCGATATTATACAAAAGATTTGAAATATTCCAATGATTTATCGATCATTGCTGGATTGCTGAATATCTCCAAGTTTGATTGGCCAGCTTAGAAGACAGAATAAAACAAATTTGTATTGAATTCTTAAAATCTTTTACTTGTGATGTTTTTTCTAATCATAGTGGGTCATAGAATAGAAATACAAAGATATAGCGTGTTTTGTTTCCAACCAAATTATAAAGAAACTTCTAAGTAAATGAACTAAAATGGATATGTCAACACATTTCTCATTTTTTTTAGTTCAATGGTTAGGGTGTCTAATCTAACTTACACGTATTTTGACTAATTCTTTCTCTAATTTTGTCAAATGCAAGTCATATACGTTAAGATTAGAGTATTCATGAGAGATAAATCTTTTATAGTTTGACCTCAAGTGGTTTGCCAAAATTCAAACTCAGAATATCTGAATGTACAACTCGTCTCTATTACTAATTAAAAAAATATTTGGTGTAATCATCAACTGATAAGATACCATGTGGGCAGCTTGTGTTGAGATTGTTAAAAAAATTACAAAATTAGAATATAATAGTTTTCAAACTTTAACTCTTTATATTTGTCAAACAGTTTGATTCAATTTATTACTTAAATTTAAGTGGATATTAATCAATCTTCCACCAATGAGCCTTTGATTTAATGATACTTCTTACATTGTGAAAGTTTTACCTTCCTAAGGTCAAGAGTTCAAGTCCCTTTCAAAAAAAAAATTATTAAAAAAAAAATTAATCTTTGAATTAAAAAATTTAACATGCAATACTTAAAATTCATCATTTAATTTTTAGTATTTGGCTTTCAATTTAATAAGGTGAGAACCGAGATTTCTGGAATAAAAATGATACGATAATCTTGCGTGATATGTAAGTCGATAAAAATATAAAACTCTAATAGGTACCGAAGAACACAATCACATGTTTTCACCAAACTTTCCATTCCTTTCACTGTAATAAAATAATCTCAAAACCCATTTTCCCAATCCTTAATCTTCGCTTTTGTTGGGTACAATTAATGGGGGTTGCTCTTGGTGGTTCTGGCAAAACTCAACCTCATAACCACCTCCCACGGTGTAGCTCCAATGGTGGCCGGCTTGGGATGGCCTTTTCTGCTTAAACTGTCGTTCACCGTTGGACGGCTCGGACCTCATGGTCGAGTCTACGCTGATGTGTTGGAGTGGCTCAGACTTTTCTTGTTCCAAATGGGTCAGATAACATTCAACGACGAAGCACCAGCTTCTGGTAATAGCACTAGATGGGAACGAGCTCTTCGGCTAGTCCGCCAGAGGGTGACTGACGTCAGCCGGTGGCCGGCGTTGGAGTCCGATGAGTATAGCTTGCACACTCTCTCTGGCACTTAAGCTTCTTGTTGGGTGAGTAATTTGTGTTCATGTGTTTCTTTTCCCTACTATAATAAGAAGAAACATATTCTTTTTTCTCTTTCCAGATCATGGTTCACCACTGCTAAAACAAACAATACCACCACTTCTAGCTAAGGAGTTAAACGATCCGAGTAGTTTAGATGGACTATTTTGTTCGATTTCGAGTTGTTCAATCTTCCATGTAATCAATGAATTAAATTTGATTTGATTTTTACGAAGGGCGAAGAAAGAATTTTTGTTCATTTCGGATTAAGATAAACATTCATATAACTAACAAAATACAAATGTAAACTGAAACATAACCCACTAATGGCCTAAAAATTTTGTTTTTAATGTTGAGCCCAAAAATTTTATTTTTTTAATATTGGGTCAAAAGTTTTTGTAATAGGTTTGGTTAGATTTTAATAAATTTGGGTAGATAATATTGAGCTCAAATTTTTTTGTTTTAAATGGATTAAATTTTTTAATTTTTTTGGGTAAATAATATGGGTCTAATATAAATTAGAGAGCACACATAATATATTATATAAATATATAATACATATACCCTATTAATAAATTTTTTTTTTTTTTTACTCTAGACTTCAGCTCACCATAGCCCATTAGTAACTTTGTCCTTGTTTTCACCCTTGTTTATATAAACTAGCCAAATTCAAGCAATCGTCAACTTGGTTCAAGTGCAATCGACTCACTCCAATAGCTTTCTCTCAATATAGATAATCTAATTTTATGAGCCAACAATCTTTATGCAAAAAATGAACAACTCCAAACCTATACCTAAATGGCTCTACACCATTTACAATTATCTCTACTTCTCTATTTCAAGTTTTTTTTTTGGAAAATTTTAACTTCTAGAATCTGATGCAATCAATTGTTTGTTATACAAATTTTAGAGGTTTTTCTTTATATATCACTGATTAATAAGTTTTATTGCTTGATTTTTGATATTTTCTGTGGAGAAATTGAATTCAACTCGAGTTATACTTGAATATTTGCAAGCTTCTGCTAGAATCTCAAATATCTTAAAGTTTAATAGACATGATTCAATTAACTCACCTAACTCCGTCAAATCTATTAATTTCTAAATACAATTTTTTAGAAGGTAACGTATGAATGTACTTCTTACTGATTGATATTTTTGTATCTTTACTTGTCATCCGATAAAATAATGATGCGTATAAAGTTTTTTTATTTTATTATTTTACATGACCTAATATTTTTTATAATTAATTGTTACATATAAATGAACTAAAATACAGAGCCCTAAGTCAATTTCGATATAGTACCCCTATTTTTTTTTCTGGGTATGCTAGGGTTTGACTTTGGTGTTTTTTTCGCATTTCTTAAGAGTTGAGAGAATGCATATTCCGCACTAGCAAGAATTGTGGTAATACCTTTACCAGATGGTCAATGGATTGTTACTGGCCTCTCAAACTAACCATTGAAACTCTAAAAGCAGATATCAACACGTGTTTGGATGATGGAGCAAGTAAGCTCGCACAAGCTTCAACACCTGTTTGGATGATAGAGCAAGTAAGCTCGCACAAGCTTGTATGTCCTACTGTATCATTGGCATGAGTAGTATTAATTCTTTCCATTGTATTCTATTCTTCAAAATCAATTTATAGATTTGAGCACTAGTTACATTAAAATTCACTTTTTTCTAATATTGGAATCGAAATTTTGATTATTTGAGCGCTAGCGATTCACCGCTCCTCCTTTCGAGTAAATATTAGGTATCACAGTTAGACTATGTCATCACGTTAACTTGGTGTAATTATTCAATGAAAAAAAAATTAAATAGACTCATCCCATGTTAGGAACACTGTTAATTCAGTAATAACAATGCATTAAGTCGTGAAATTATGTCTCAAAATTATATCATGATCATATTGCATTGAGAATAATCACTTCCAACTTGATAAAGGCATACGTAATAAGAGAGACCTTTAAAATTATATTAGTTGACATGTCATGAAATTAATGTACTCCTTATTTCCGGGAGGGAAATTTTGTATTAAAAGAAGCTTTACAAAAGGCAAAATTCACAACCGTAGCAGACTGGTCATGAATAGAGCAGGCAATATAGGTAGCAGAGATGCAACACAAAAAGAATTTATGGGGAAGTATAGGCCATGGTCAGTACTTCCCCACAAATTCATAACCTGAGCATCCAAGGGAAGAAGTGAAATACATTACAAGAAGAAGAGATCAATCCAAGCAGGAATGGGGAAGCTCCCATAATTGCAGAAGTCTAAGGTTCAAAGCTGAGTTCTTGAACCTGACAGAGAAAAGCATGTCCTTGATGGCTTGTTTGATGATCAGGAGCAATGAGTTCCTGTCCCTATATTGATTGGCATAGACTCTGAAATTCCTTTCCATCCCAATGTGGTAAACAGTGGCAGCCAAGCTTAGCTTTAAAATCACCGAAAGTATAGACTTCTTCTTTCAATTGCTAGCTGCCCATTCAATAAAAGGATACCAGGGTCTTGGTGTCCATTGGATTTGACTACAAGCCAAGATAGAGGTCCATAGGCCATGAGCATATATAGGAACATTCAAAAAAGAGATGAGAGTGGGATTGATGGTGAAATGTACGCCTTATTTTATGCTTCACATACTGGTTAAGATTGCATTTCTCTTGTTATGTTTCAAAAC